TATATATATATATATTCAGAAGATTAATATAAAGTTTCTCCTTTTCACAATCTCAAAGAGCAACACCTCAACATTATGACACTTGATTTAAAGGTTTATGATTTATGACAAGATGATGGGCAAGGGAAGAGCAGCCTTAAGTGATTTTTTTTTGGAAGGTTTTAATACATACCACTCAATTCTTATGTATTTATATATCTAACACCAATGCTTCAATTTTTACATGCATACCGCCTTACCAATGCATGAAAAGATGCATCTCATGGTCGACGTTTAATATGCATCTTTCATATCATAAGGCAAATTTAAATCATCTACTCTCCTAACTGGATCATCAGATGGTCGACGTTTAATATGCCCAAATCATCTAAGACGACTCTATATAATATTGTCAGCCACTTGAGCACGGATATATTTGTTTCACATTTTATCATTGAGTGTAAAGTCACTCGTCCACCTAAGCATTCTCATCTCGACCACATTAACTTAGTTTTATGCTTCTCTTTTATAGGCCAACATTCTAAGTCATAAAACGTTGCAGGTCTCACCACCATTTTATAAAATTTTCCTTCTCTAGGGGTACTTTTCTATCGCACAATAGGCCCCATGCATTCTTCCACTTCAACCATCAAAATTGAGTTATAGTAAGATCCTCATTTATATCACTATCACTTTGAACAATAGACTCGAGATATCTAAAATGTTTACTCCTTTTAATGATTTGAACACCCACTGTTACAAATCTGCCACTAGTTCTACTGCCACTAATATTACATTCTATGTATTCAATTTTAGATCAACTTAAACGAAGGCCTTTAAACTCTAAAGTAGACCTCCATAATTCAACTTTTGCCTAAACTCTTTCTCTATTCTTATCCACAAGAAGGATATCATCAATGAAAAGCATACACCAAGGTACATCCTCATGTAGATGTCAAGTAAGAACATCAATAACTAAAGCAAAAAGATATGACTTAAAGCCAATCCTGTAATCAACTGAAGTAGGAAAATATTTGGTCAATCGTCCTTCTGCTTGAACACAAGTAACGACTCTAGTACACATAATTTTATGACCTGATTATGTCATATCAATACCTTTCTTTTATAGTACTCTCCAAAGAACTCTTTGAAACTTATCACAAGCTTTTTCTAAATTAATAAAAATCATATGTAGATCATCCTTACTTACTCTGTACTACTCCATCAAACATCTCAATAAAGGTATAACATTCATATAGACTTGCATGACATAAATAGAAATTGATTATGACAAACTATTTGTATCACGTCTTAACATATGTTTAATTACTCTCCATCTCATAATTTTAATGTTTGACACATAAACTTAAATCCTCTATAATTTGCACACTCATGTCCATCCACTTTATTCTTAAAAATGGCGACAAAAAATATTCCTTCTCCACTTCAACATCTATTCAGCAGGGTTGTGAAAACCGGACCAGACATCAAATCGAAAAACCAATTATAAAACCTTTCACTGAAGACCATAAACAAAAAATAAATTGAGTCCGAACTATATAAACATTGTAATTGGTGAATGCACAAAGCAACACTACATTGTAAACTGACATTCAAAGTCAAAAATAAAAGAGAAACAAATAGTGATCCTTCATATCATCTAGATTGATTGTCCCGAATAGAAGGAGAAGCTTCAGAACTAGTCATCGACTAGGTAGTAATTGATATGATTAGTTCGACTCGAGGCACGGTTAGAAGAAAGCGAGTCTTATTTCCACCACCTTCAATCTTCGTTGTATCTTGGGAGACCTTTAATGCTACCTCTAACCTAGCCTCCAAGTAAGGGAACCGTTCTCTCACCTTTAGATCGATGAAGTTTTCATTGGCCTCAATATCTGCAATGTGTTTTTTTACTTCTTGCAAGTCCACCCGTGTCGCGGTCCGCTCCTCTCTCAGTACCCCACAAATCGTGATCGTCCATTTCTTGTACATTGCCACAATATCATTGAATCCGCATGTAATATTTGCTCCTGAATGAGAGCTACGACCCCCACATGAAGGACAATCTAAGGCCAACTGTTAGACTAAAAAACTACTCCATGCAACTAAGCTATAGCCCCAGGCAAAGGAAAGTTCGCTCTCAATTCAGGTAAAATCTTCTGATCATAACAAAACAAAAGCCTCTTTTGGCCATCTCTTACATGTCGAATTGCAAGCATAACAAAATGTTAATCCATAAGCTCATTCTGAAGCATTTACAAACATACCCCCCAATTCTCATGTCTTTACACATCAAACACCCAAACCTTTCATATCATATAAAAAATCCTACCATTTCATCTTTTAAGAATTTAAATACTCCTTTCCATGTACTAGTAAAGTGAGACACACACACACACACAGACAGATATATATGTAAATACATAGGAAATGAGTAGTATGCATGTAAATCTTCCAATATTTTATCACCTAAACACAAGCATTATATGCATAATTCAAGTCAAATTATTATTTTAAAAAAAAAAGAAAAAAAGCAAAACATAAAACATTGCTGCTCCTATGTAAAAACAATAAATTATTAAACAGCATGACACCATTCATATATGCATATAACAAGCAAAACTAGAACCCTATGGCTTAACTCACCCCAACAAAATGCTCAAACGAAAATGAATATTTGCAGAAGCAGCAGCAAAAAAAAAAAATATATTACTTATGGAGTAATCATATACGAACCTACTGATCTCTCCAAATTAGGCAGAGCAACACCCAACTTTCTTCAAATCGGACACATCGTCTCTGTTGCCGACATTGATCGTCTGTCCCCTCGGCGGCGCCGACGGGTCGTCGCCGACGTCCAGAGCTTTACGACTGACGACGCGGTAGATCTGCGAGAGGACTTCGGTGAAGGCGATCTCGACATTCATTGATTCTAGGGCTGATGTTTCCATGAAGAAAGCGCTCTCCCTCTCCGCAAAAGCTTTCGCATCTTCGGTGGAGACGGCTCGAAGATGGCGCAGATCGGCTTTGTTTCCGACGAGCATGATGACGATGTTAGGGTTTGTGTGGTCTCTGAGCTCTTTCAGCCATCTCTCGACGTTCTCGAATGTTATATGGCGAGTTATGTCGTAGACGAGGAGGGCGCCGACGGCTCCGCGGTAGTATGCGCTTGTGATTGCGCGGTACCTTTGGGAGAGGAGCAATGATTCAAAGATGAAAATTTTTTTAAATTTAGGTTTTTGATATGCAATTATGCAGAAATAGAGTGGTATGGCTGTAAAACTTCCAAATGTTTGTTCATTCAGGTAATGCAGTCAGGAATCTTATGTATTATGAAGTTCTCCAGGAGGTGATAAATTTAATACAGTGGAGGAGTTAACATGTATAACATTCAATTCCTATGTATTTACATATCAAAAGCCTAAATTTTATTTTTTGCATTTATATCATCTAAAAGCTTTCATATCATAAAAAAAATATCAACTGATGTAAATATTAGAATGCGAAAGGCACATCATATATGTAAAAATTGAATTCTAGGTGTTAGATATTGTTGAATCTAAAAGTGCCTGGGAAACACACTCAATGAATGAAACGTTTTGCTAGGAAGTGATTAGAGAAAGAGAAAGAGAGCAGTAAAAAAAGTTTATCTTATTCATGACACGAACACCTATTTATAGGCCTAGGTTTCAATATTATAATAATACATATTAGCCCCCTCATTAATAACTTCTCAGATGCACTTTTTGGTAATTACAAATTATTTGTACCTAAAAAGACCAGGAGCCGATTCGATCGATAAGGGTTGTCGATCATCCGGTTAGCTTGGGCTCGATCGATAAAAGAGTGTTCTCTGTCGATCATCCTAAAGGCCGACTACCTCCTCATGGGAGCCTCTCCTGGCGCCGTCTGCGATCGTTCGAGCAAGGTGTTTCTGTCGCCAACATTCATCCAAAACGATTATCAACATATTTGAACGTCTGATCGTCCAATCGTCTGCATCTATTTCCTAAGTCATTTATCTACTTTGAATTCGTGCCGACATATTTTTATCTGTACAGATATGTCATCACATAGGAATTGAGTGGTATGTATGTAAATCTAATCTACCTCATGCTTTTTATTCAGGTAATGCAGTTAGGAATCTTTTGTATTATGCTTAATCATGGTTAAAATTTGGTTACAGGTAGGATTTAGTAAATCAGGAAGCAATCAGTCTGAGAGCAAACCAAAGAGTATTATTTTTTCTTGACACATGGTTGAATGGTTGGACGAGTCTTTTTAAACAAAAAGTAGAAGCATTGTAGGTGATGAAATCAGTTGATAAGTATTTGGAAAACTTACAAACATACAACATAATTCTTATTCATTTACCAACACGAAAAGTTTGATATCTACACTAATAACACCTCGGTGTCATGAATCTATACACGAAAAGTTGTATTTCACTTAAAAAAAAAAAAGATAGTGATTGTGATATTTTCGAAGAGACAGAAGCAATCACATATAAGTAAGAAGGCACGCATCTGAAATTAGAAGGCACAAATATCATCAAGGAGAAGAAATATCTTTTGAAAAATGGAAACAGTAAATATCATTGAGACATACATCAATTATAAACCAACAGATAATTTGAGAGCAACACTCAAGAGACGAGATTTTTTACATAACAAATATAGAAAAGGGAAATATCATATGGCCCTAGTTTAGTTGAAATTGTTTCACTAATATAAGTTAATTATTACATTTGACGCTATTTCTTGTGATTGGAAAGGGTATTAATACTATATAATATACAAGAATCGGGAAAGATGATCTTCAACGATGGTAGTACAAGTGTTAAGTGCTTCAATTATCAACAGTAAGCTTGGTTAAGGACTAGATAATCGAGAAGATATATGGCACACATGTATGTCTGATATATAGGAGATAACAGCTTGCAAAGGAGCGCCGATCAACAAGGATAGACATAGAGACGACCGAAAAAAAATGAGAGAATATCTTTCCTTCAGACTAGAAGTTGGAGTTGCCAGGCTTTGATGGAACAGTGAAAGCCAAACTAGATAACAATTTGTGCTTTGATGGAAAAGTATAAGACAATTGAAATGATGGATAAATACAATGTCTCAAATAAGAGATACACAAGGCTGTTGATCACATTTTTAATGAGGTTGACAAGTATACCCCCCTCCCCTGTAGGGCCCTCGAGGAAGTCAATTCAAACCAAGCCCATTTAGGCCTAATGATCCAAGCGCTAAAGGCGTCCGCTCATTTACGGGGTGCTAAAAGTTGCCAACCAGTTCAGACGTTTGGCAGTAAAACTCCCTCAATCAACCAGTCTAGTGGACCGTTAAGGAGTTTCTTGCCACTTCTACAAATGCGAGACTACCGCCCTGTTAGGAAATCTCACAACGAACAACTCCCAACTTTACCGGGACTAAGGATTAATTAGAAACTAAACTTCACCGCAGAATAACGGGATTGTATCAATTCGATAAAAAATCGAAAAAAAAATTAAAACAGAAGCACAATCAAAACAACCAGAAAAACATACGAGAATTTACGCGGAAAAACCCGAGAACGGGAAAAAATCACAGAGTCACACCACCAGAAATTTTAACTATGAAATTCACAATGTTTTACGAAAAATTCACACGAGTTTTTTCTCCACACACAAAAAAAACTTACAGAACTCGTTCCACAATCATCCTTTTCCGATCCGACACAAAATCACTAAAATTCACCTCTTCGACATTCCTCACCTTCATCGGGATGCTCTTCGAAGAATTCAAAAAGAAGGAAACAACAAGCACTCCGATCCACACTCAAAAATTGGCTTAAAAACTAATTTTTCCTGCAGTAACTGCACTAGACACTTTGGCGCCCAAACTTGGTGCCTAAATGCTAAGCGCTTCGTATTGGAGCCCCATAATGGGCGCCTAGGCGCAAATAGACTGGCACATATGAGTCGGTCTCAAGAGAATAAGAGCAGCGTCTGCTCTATAGCGAGCGCATATGCACCTAAAGCCGGTCCCTAGGCACGAACTCCTCTGTTTGAGCAGCACCCAAGTGGGCACTTAAGCACCCACAACTCATTGCATATGTGTCAGGTGCCTTGTGCTTAGGCTCCACAACCCAACACACCCCTCCCGTCTCCTTCCTTATTAGCTCTTCTCCATATGGGAAGTATTTTAAGGACTATATTCTGGATTTTTCTTGCCTCCCCACTTCTTCTTTTTGTCTGGGATTTTAGTTATTTATTTCTTTCATTTTCTTCGTTAATAAAAGTCTATAAATTGTTGTTTTCTGATTGTAGGGTTCAGTTTTTTTGCTATGTTTGCTTTCAGATTTGTTGTGTGGAGTCTTTCCCCCTCATACTAGGGTTGTATCCGATGACAAGTAGTGCTCTTGCTATATCCTGCTCTGAGGCGGTGTTGTATCCTTCCAATCTCCTCCTATCTCCTCCCCGACCACTTCTCGTACCCCATACCTAGCTGCCAGCCACCCCCATCTTCCTCCTACAGTTCTGCCGGCACTCCTACTACCACCACAACCTGCTGTCCAGCCATCCAGTCCGCCCATCCAGCACCCGTACTCCCTCTCCCTGCAGCCACCTGAGTTGCCCAGCCCTCCCGGCCATCAACCCTCATCCTGCCATCCCTTCCTTGCAGCAACCCTTGCTGTCTAGTCCACCTACAGCCCACCAAGCACCGTTCCAACTTACCAAACAGCCACCCAGCCTTCCCCACCTCACCGATGCCACAATCGCCTTCAGATCTCCTCCTGCAGCCCTAACCAGGGATTAGTTTATTATCGTATTTCCTTTTTCGTTTGAGTCGTGTCGTAACCCTGATTCAGTACTAATAAAGTATGTTTGTGAGTTGCCGCTAATTCCAGATCACCTGGTTTAAGCCTTATATTAGTTTAATGCTGCCTCTTTTTCAGTGAAGAATAGGAAGGAAGGAATAGTCCACGGAGGAGGATTCATGAAAAATAGACGAGCTTACGCATGGGTTTTAAGAAATGGTGAGAGGCCAAATGTACCTTAACCGTATCACTGTTTTACTGCAATCTATTAAATCCCAACAACTAGTACACATTGCATTCATATGATCTTAAGAAAAGAAAGGGGCAATTAATACAAACTATTTGCGGGTGTCAACAAATTTAATTGATAAAGAATTTGAAGTTTGCTATCAATTTTTTAAACTGGAACCTACGACATCCCATAATCGTGCTTCAGCACTCAGCAATCTCCAAAATAATATAAAAATAGTTAGGAAAATAGCAGGCTTGCCTTCCTATACCGGAACCAGAGCTTTACATTCTGTATTTCAAAACAAATCGACGGCCAAAATCAAGCCAAAATAGCAAAATCAACCTTTTACCAGCCCCATGCCAACGAAAACTAACCCATCGAGCAGACAGCAATACAATTTGGAGATCAAAACGTAAGAACAGCACAATTGATAGTGTAGCTTTTAATCCAGTCTGATTAACCCCAGGAACCAATAAAACACCCAACCACAGAAAAACAACAGATGAACAAAACTCATAATCAAAACAAGATGTTTCCAATTTCCATCCAAGAAATCAGTATGGATTGACCGATCATACCTTTCCTGACCAGCAGTGTCCCAAATCTGAGCCTTCACAACCTTCTCTTCCACGCGAATGCTCCGCGTCGCGAACTCGACGCCAATGGTCGATTTCGACTCCAGATTGAACTCGTTCCGGGTAAATCTAGACAGAAGATTCGATTTCCCTACTCCGGAATCGCCGATCAACACCACCTTGAACAAGTAATCATATTCGTCATCGGACCTGTAAGCCATAACTGAAAATCTTCCAACACCTCCGTCGATGCCGCGTCAACCCGCCGCCGGTGAACCCGCTTCCGCCTCCTCTATTCAGCTGATCGATCGGTTATCTCAACCTTCCCCGTCATCACCGTCGAGAGGGGGCGAAAACAGAGGGATGAGGGAGAATCTGGAAACAGAAACCTGTTACGGCCTTCCGACGGATTAAATAGTGTCGCCATTACCCGGTAATGGGTCCAGTTGACACGATAGTGTTATCGCGCGGGATCGTCAGCCAAATGCCAACCGTCTGATTAAGATCGGCACGAACCTTAGGGTGGTTAAAAATTGCCCCCGCCGCCGCCGCCGCGGCGGCGGTGGTGACGATGAGGCTGCCATTGGCGAAATTTGCTCTTCTAGAAGTTTGAAACGGTAAAAAGGTTTTACAAATGTGTGGTATAATTTTTATATATAAATATATAATATCTAAAATTTAATTTTTAAGCATATAACAATTGGAAATTTACTTGAATACCATACAATTTCTATGTTGTTACTTATCTAACCAAAAAAATATTATATTTGTAATCCAAATGTAGTTTAACATCCGACTCTGATAGCCCCACTTTGTGAGATTGATATTTGGTGTTGGACTAAACTTGCCCTGAAACCAGCCTGAACAGTCGAAATTTTTAGCTATTCAAAAATTTGTCACCGCCTTCATGTCTTCTTCTCTTCTTTACACATACAGGGTTTTCGGTTTCTTGTATGTAGCTGTCTTCATTTCCACTTCGTGCTCTAGATTTTCGTCTAAGGTTTGTTGTGGTATATTAAGAGTGTGACATACATGCGACTATGACAATCCACATCAGAGCAAATTTGAAGATAGAAGTAAAAAATTAGTGACAAGAATGAAATGGATGTGAGTCTATCAATGATATCAAAGCACTACTTTGTATCATTTGAAGTCTTTTGTAGTTTGAATTAATATACTTTGATATTGATTTATCGTATTTAAATCATACATAATTTTTTTTGTAGTTTGAATCAATATATTTTGTTATTATAAATTTTAATTTATTTTTCACATCAGTGGAGCAAATGTCATGGTTCATTTGTGACATCATATTTTCATCTGTATCACTATAATACTACTATTTTTCTAAAAAAAAATACACATTTAGAAAATTAATTTCAAATAAAAAAGTTGATTAACATCATAATCTATTATTTCTCACATCATATGAGCAAAGATATGGTTTTTTTATTAGAAAAAATAATTTTTTATACGTACCACCAAAATACCACCAGAATAAAATCATTTTTCTAAAAGATGTTCACACTTTTAGAAGATTAATTTTCAAATATAAAAGTTGCTTGATACATAATATGTTGCTTCTCTCATCAGATCAAGATAAGATATAGTTCATTTATGAGGAAAAACAAAATTTTTTAACTTGTACCACCATAATACATTCAAAATACCACTATATTTCTAAGACATTTTTACACTTATAAAACATCAATTTTCAAATAGAAAAGTTGTATAACATTATAATCTATATCACTCACTTTAGAGCAATAGAAGACATGATTCATTTGTGATGAAAAACACAGTTTTTTCGTGTGCACCTCAATAATACCACCAAAATATCACTATTTTTCTAAAACATGTTTTCTCTTATAGAAGATCAATTTTCAAACAGAAATTGTATAACATCATAATCTATTATCTTTCACAACAGAGCGGTTGAGGACATGACTCATTTGTGAGGAAAAACATTATTTTTTCATCTGTATCACCACAATACCACAAAAGTATCACTATTTTCTAAAACATGTTTACAGCTGTAGGCCATTAAATTTCAAAGAGAATGTATGTATAATGTCATAAGCTATTATCTCTCACATCTAAGGAGTAAATGATATTATTCATTTGTGAGGAAAAACATAATTTATCCATCTGTATCACCACAATATCATCAAAAAACCACTGTTTTCAAAAACATTTTTACACTTTTAATGCATCAATTTTCAAATAGGAAGTTGCATACTATCATAATATATTGTCTCTCAATTTAGAGTTGCGGGAGATACGATTTATTTGTGAGGAAAAACAAAGTTTTTCATCTATACTCATAAAAACACCAAAATACTACAATTTTTCTAAAAACATGTTTACACTCTTAGAACATCAAATTTCAAATAAGAAAATTGCATAACATCACAATCTATTCGTTCTCAGATCATAAAAGCAGAATAAATGATTCATTTGTGAGAAAAAAATAATTTTTTTTTCATCAACACCACCACAATTTCACAGTTTTCTAAAACATGTTAATATATTTAATTATGTTTAAATCATATGTATATATGTGCAATTTTGTGAGCCCAAGAATGTGGTTAATGAAGCAATTATAGACAAATTGCTTAACAATATTGTGCTTAATAAAATAAGACATAATTTGTATTATGCTTATGCACACCACATTGGATTTATTGTTTTAAAAGAACACAACCATTATTGACCAAACTTAATGAATATAAAATAAAAAAAAATGTGGTAAACCTAATTTCTTAAACGGTGTAATCTAATGGCATAGTGAAGTTTAAAAAAATAAACACCATGATTGGTTGTGCAGTCTTGAATAGGTATGACGTTAATGTTAACTACAATTGGAAGATTAAAAAATTTGTTGAAAGTCATAGCAAATTCTTAACAGAGTCAAGTGATCAACATCTTCTAGGATCCAAGCAGAATAATGGAGATGCACATAAATTGATGGCAACATTATGGATTGGAGCCACTGATGCATTCAACTTTCTAGCTATGGAAGTTAGAATAGAAAAAAAAAAATTTCAAAAAAAAGATGCATTCAATTTTATTCATATTGAAAGAAGAGCAATGATTGAAAATGATGCTACTAATGCTCTTCAATTTTTAGCAATTACATGAGATATTTCTCTGGCAATTTGAATAGATACGACTATTGCATTAATGTCACCTAAGAAATATTTCTCAATAAAATTGATGCATTAGTGTCAAAAAGAGAGATGTATCAATTATACATCAAAGAAAATATAGCAAAGGTGCCGGAGAAATATCTCCTCATGTGATGATCTTTAGGTGCTAAGAGAGATTTGTATTTTGGAAATGATTACAGGTATTTCAACAAGTTGCAGGTAAAGAATGATTCTTCAAGTGGTGTTATATTTTGAACCGACATCTATAAATATTCATAACAAATAAGCACTAAGGCCGAAGGCAATCAAGATGTTAAACAATATATATTGAGGTCATTGAAAAAAAATATCCAATGATGTTGACTTAATATTGAATGTAAAATCACATCCATTAAAGCACATGCTTTACAGAAAGGGATTATTTATTAAAATGTAGTTTCGTTAAAAGTGGAGTAGTTGGAAAGAAGAAATCTGACATGATACCAAATGTTGTGATAATTTAAGTAGGCATATTCATTTAATGAGGTCTTAATTGAGACTAGTTTGGAAATCATATGTGATATTAAATGTTGTGATAACTTAATTAAATGTATTCATTTAATGTGATCTTAAATGAGACTCGTTTGGAAATAAAAAATTTGCCTATTTATATGGAGTTTCTGGGAGAAGCCCATGGCTTCTAAAAGAGAATTTCCAAGTTATTTGGAAAGCACCAATTAGGTATTTTTTTAAGGTTGTGAAAATCAGACCTAGTATCAATGCCAGATACAGTATCATAGAAGGTAACTGTAGCACTCTTAGATATTGTAATATATGTGGTGATGAAAATACTCAAAAATATGGATGAATCACAAGAGAGGCCAGAAAACACGAAAGAGCATTGTGGTGCATCGTCATCTGGTACTAGCCTCTTTCTTAAAGGACGGGTGGTACCGATATAAGCTTCTACTATGGAGGAAGTGCTACATGAACAACTCCACCTTTCCAAAGGAGGGCACGTATTCAATGCCTGACGAGGACGTGGTCTGCAAAGCTGGGTAAGGTAGAAAAATGAATCTCAATCCTGGGAGCCAAAGACACCTCCTAAACTAGAGTCAAAACAGGTATAGAAACTTGTTGTAGGGCGTACTACTGAATTCAAAATAATATATTTCTAGTCCTCTGGGCCTTCAAGCCTAATCTGGAGGTAAGTGAAATCTTAGGGGAAACCAGAACAAAAAAAGTCGGAACAAAAGTCACACCGGCGACGACGGTGACAACCCTACTACTGACAGAAGACCCACCTACCCTATGGCATGGTGATCCATGAGAACACAGAAGGATAACTCGATAGTTCAAGAAAAACATAAGTACATTGTGACACATCACTGTCTGGTGTTGGCCTCTTTTTTGCAAAATAAGCTGGTGCAATACGAGCCACGGCAGCAAGAGCAGCTCGATATGCATGACAACCCTTTTAAGGTGAATGACACAAAACAAACACTTTAGAGGGTGTAGGATTACATAAGGTAATCCCAAAATGGGTGCTCAAAGAAATTGAATATTATGACACCCTCTGGAGCACAAAAAAATGCTCGTAGAGAAGGAAATAGAGTTCCCCCCAGCAATAGCGATCGTGACCACCTTCTTGCTCTCCCACATTGCAAGACAAAAAGGGAAAATGATAAAAAATAAGAAAAGGTTAAGAAACCAACCAAAAGGTACAATGGCATCAGTGCACGTGATAATGCAACAACCAAATTGTCGAGGGTGAGAGAAGGGATAAAGTGCATCGAGTTGCTAATCATGGCAACTGACGCATTGAATGAAAAACAAGGTCTAACAAAGGGCTCAACTAGTGCTCAAAGGAAAGATACAAGGTCACGATAATATGAGAAAAAATTCCAAATATAAAGAGAGAGGCTATAAGCTCATAACAAAAGTGAAACTCTTAGTATGGAGAGAGAGGCTCATCTCTAGCGGTGTCCCATACTTAGTTTCATCCTTTTTCTCTTTTTATTTTAAAATGAATCATCAGTTTTTCAATCATCATATACTTTCATTTTCTGAATAAATCTCTCTTCTATATCATATGAATGATCTGGAGAAAATAGGAATAAAAAAATATGGACATACGATGAAAACGACAAACAAGAGAGTAAATGTGAAAAACCTACGTATTATAAACCTTGCAAGAAAAGGTCAAGCATGTCCGTCCAAACAAGATCAGGCGGAGAAACCTTGGACCAATATCCACAAAATAATACCTACTTAGACTAACCATAACTTGAGAGTCAGGTGTACCTGT